ATCCCAACCCGGCAACCGAAGGGGGTGCGGCGTTTTCAAAACGCCGTGCCACATCGGGCCTGTATGTGAACAGGGTCGAGGGGGTACGGCGTTTCGAAAACGTCGTACCCCCTCCGGTTCTCGCTGGGGGGTGGGAGCGGGGGTACGACGTTCTCGAAACGTTGTACCTCCGCTCCTTTCGCCTCCTGGCACCCGAAGGGGGTACGGCGTTTTGGAAACGCCGTACCTCCTCCGCCCTATTTGTGAACAGGGTCGAGGGGGTACGGCGTTTCGAAAACGCCGTATCCCGTCCGGTTCTCGGTGGGGGTGGGAGCGGGGGTGCAGCGTTCTCGAAACGCCGTACCCCCTCCAGTTCTCGGAGAGGATAGGGAGGTGGGCGTGTGGCGTTCCGAGAACGCCGTAGCCCGGCCCAGTAGGTGGACAGGGCCGACCGTTGCGGCGTTTCGAGATCGCTGTACCACCCCTCCCTCTCGTCTCCGATGGCCAGAGGGAGTACGTCGTTTTCGAAACGCCGTGCCACCTCGCCCTTGCTTCGCAGAACCGGACGGGGTATGACATTTTCGGAACACCCTGTGCCATGCGATGCTCGGCTGCGTCGGCGACTCACGTGAGGCGATGGTGGAAGGCTTGGAATCTGAATGCAATCCGTTCCTTCATTTGGAATGTGCCTACCATCAGGAGGAGCATCTGCTGCCCCAGAAAAGAGAGTCTACAACACGTGCGCAATCTATAGAGATAGGGACTGGGCCCTTGATTGGGTGGGGGGGCTACACGAGGCGGGATGTGGGGCCGCTGTGTTTCTGAAGAACGCCTCGGGTGTTGACTGGTTCTGTGTTGGAGGGATTGTTAAATCCGAGGATGAGAGGGTGGACGGTCACGGACGGAAGTTCAGGAGGTTTTTCCTCACAACGGTGTTCGACGAACAAGGAGTGAACCATGCGAAGGCCGACCGTAAAGTCAGCCTTGATTACAATCTGTTCAAGGGGTATGGCGGTAAGGCTATTACCATGAAAGCCTTCGATGTGTCCCCGAAAGAAGATGGGAGTGTGTTGACGATGCTTGGCCCCGTTAAATTCCTCGCCAAAACGAACAGCTACAGGAGATCCGGAAACAGTCTCATGGTTGAGGTCGGGCATCGTATGTCCCCGGCATTCATGCCTTTTGACACGTCGGACTAGGATCTTCCCGGTATTGCAATGACAGAGAGACAGAAGACGCCAACGCAGCAGACATCAGCGAGTGGGAGCCGGAGCCGCAACAAACAGAGCCAGCCGCGTCATCCACCAGGCGAGGATGAGCATGGTCCTCCTGTGGGTTCGTCCCGCCGGATGGAGTGTGCTGGACCGTCTCAACCGTCCAGCCGGCAAGACCAAGGCACCCCCGTCATCACATACAAAAGGAAGGCCCTGGCAACTCGTCCCTCTCCCAGTTGCCAGAGGGCTGAAGGTGGTGCGTCCAGGAAGGCCGCGCTGCGGGAGATCAGCGAAGGATCGGACGAGGAAACGGAGGACGATTCTAGGATATGTGTTGGTCGACATCCACAGGCTAATCATGCCGTCGACGATGACGAATGTGGTGTCGATGAGGACGGCGTGGAAGTGGAGAACAGCGAGAGGGAGAGAGAGAGAGAGGATCGTAAGGAATATATGCACGACTGCGAGGGTGGGTAGTCTCAACAATACTATGAGGAGGAGGACGGGGGCGATGGAGAAAACGATCATGCCTATCCCGTAGGTGATGACGATGGACGGCAAGAGCGGTCGGCTGATGTGGGGGTCGACGACGCAACAGGAGAGCGGTCGGAGGTCAGTGTCCAGAAAAGGAAGCGACAATCTTCAACAAGTCCAATGGCGGCGGCGGATAAGCGCGCTACGAAGAAACTCAATGTCGCTGCATCTCGACAGACGCTCAAAGCTTCTCAAGAGGCGGTCGCTGAAAGTGTGAAGAAACGAAAAGGGTCCGCGTCGACAAGGGCGACAAAAGCGGACAAACATCCACCGAAAAGAAAGCAGATGGTGGATGAGGGTGACTCTGGAGAGGATGCCGAAGGGGTTCCTCCAAGAGATGTGTCGGAACAGACACAACCTTCCGCCAACACCCGTGATGAAGCCATCGACACAACACGGTGCTTCTTCTTGGAGTTCGATGAAGATGGGTTTGCAAAGAAGAAAAGGGAATACATTGAAGTGGACGTCACAAAGATCTTGCCAATCCCTGAAGGTGACATCCTCTTCAACCATAGAACGTTGGACGAAATGTTGGTGCAGTCCATATATGATGCGATCCATCACGCGGCCAAGGAAACCAATGGGAAGTGAGATTTCATGACTTTCATCCTGGCTCCCATTGTGCCCAACAGGGACGGGTCTCTAGGCAGACGGATCACACCGGAGCAATTCGACGTCGAACTGGCTCATACATACAACCGGTATGCTGTTGATGACCAGCACACGGCTGAGGCAATGAACAGACTCATTAAAGACAAGTCACCGACCGAGAAAGTGTATGGCTTGAGGTCATACTCTCACGTACGTGTTGTCTACTTTGATGATGACAGAAAGAAAGGATCTCCGTACGTCTCGACGTTCGACAACACGAGGGAGGAGCGTTCGATCCCGAGATCGTTTTCATCATCCGTGCGCCAAATCAGAACATTTTGGGATAAGAGGAATGACCGGATCCGTCCGCCAGGGACCGTGTCCCCGAATGATGTCGAGGGAATGAAACGGAAAAATAAATGGGAAGAGTTCATGAACGCCGACTGCAAACTAACACCTGATTCCATTCTCATGAACTCGTCCCTGGAAAACAACTACTGCAAGGACTGGACGAACAAGATGCGCGGATACATGAATCTTGCGCAGTGCGGCGATACGGTGTGACCACTAGTACAAAGATTCTTTGACATGTATGAGAAGGGGCTATTGTCGCGAGTCGACGGTATGAAATACATTGACATGCCGAGGAAAGTGGAAGCGAGGCTGCCTGGGCAATACTTCCTCAAGGATAACTCCGGCAAAAAAGTATGGTTCCACTGCATCAAGGACAGAAAGGGGGCACCAGGCGCAACGGTGTCTATACCTGACTTGACGCCCACAATCTTCAAGCTGTTCGGCGATATGACAGCGCGAGAGAAGCAAGTGGCGCTTCACCACATGATGCGTGGTGATGTCATCGTGACATCACGTTCGGTACCTCGTGGTAGATGTAATATGGTGGACCTGGTTAAATATACTCGGCGTGAAAGATATATGGTCCGTATGTTCAACTACATATTGTTCAAGGCCGAAGGGAGGTCAAAAGAAGAGTGGAGCGCTGACTTTTTCATCGGTTATACGACCTTCTTGAAGAGGTACAGCAAAAACGGCCTGACGGACGAGAAATGGACTGAGGAACGCGACCGCATCCCTGACGACAAGGCGAGGAAGGTGCCGAGGCGTTTGGGCGGTCCTGATGAGATTAATGGTGAGAACGGTGTGGGACTGGAGTCAACCCAAGGCATGTACAAGGAAACCCCGTTCCACCTCAAGTGTTTCATCTACGAGGCAATCGAGTGTTTGGACGACCTGAGAGCGAAGGTTAATCGGATATCCTCCAGTGCTTGTCATATATTTTGGGAAGTGGGGAAGAGGATTACCACGATCCTGCCATTTGAAATCAAACCGAAGGGAGTGTTCACCGACAACGAGAAGGTTGTTGGTACGGCGAGGGGGATGAAGATACGGGCAACCATTCTTGATATGTCAACATCACCGAAATGTGTTCCGTGGGATGATGACGCCTTTTCCAAACTGTACGCTTTCCTCATGACATGCTGTGGCGAAAACTGAGCCTTGATCATTTTCGCGCCGATGAAACACCAGAAACAAGTGATGCAGAGTGTGTACAACTGGGATGATGTTGAGATGCTCACAGGGTCATGGTACAGACACTATACACCTTCGACAACCTTGAACAAGTACGACAACATTGCAGTTCGGTACACTGACATGATGGCTATTGTCCTCCACGCCRAKAACGACAATTTGGACAATATAACGGTTGCGCCGAAATTGCGAGCCGAGTTGACAAATTTGAACGTTGAAGAGGGTGAATTTGTGAGGTGCTCAGGGGAGTGTATCGGCATGGAGGGCGACACCGACGCGGTTTATTCTTGGATGGAACGAGAGTCAGCACGTCTCCGAAAACTGTGCAGCTCGTTCATCAGGGAGGACGATGGCGTGATGCTGTTGGGCAGGGCGCATGCGGGACTGATTTGGGAACTCGCTCGCGCCGGACACCACGTGTTTGCGTGTGACGACATGACAAAAGAGCTTACATACCTTTCCAAGTTTTTGGAGTTTTATGTGAAGGATCCGATGAATAAATGCAGGTTCAAAAGGCCCCAAGTCGAGCACCGCAAGGACAGGGACATTTACTATAAGATCGGCAGGAAGAGGGAGAAAGTGTGGGCTTACTTGTTCGGTGACGCTCCACGGTTGGCGGTTGATAACGACTACGTCATCAGTAAAAGTGAACTCGAGATAGCAATGAACGAGTACCACGGATCGCACATGGGTGTTTTCCACATGTTCGTCGCACTTTGTGAGCATCTGTATTTCAATATGAAGAAAAGAGCACTGTCATGCAGGGACTATGCGGACTTGGCACGTAAAGCGTGGAACTTCAACAACATCGATTGTGACGAAGACACGTCAGACTCCGACCTGGACGTTCCGTCGCGCGCGACACGACGTTCGGCGCAGGGAGCACGTGCCGAGGAGCCGCAAGGGAGCACCAACGCAGATGCAGAGAAGGCGAGGTCGAGTTTGGGAGCGACACATGCTAGCGAGGGAGACGTGGAACATAGAATGAATGCAAGGGGAGAAAAGAATTGTGTACTAATGAACCCGGTGGGTGTGAGTGAGGGAACTGTTAACTCACGGGGCAACACAGGGGGAGGAGAGAATGGGTGTGAAATGACCCCGCCAACAGTTGGACCATCATCGACACATGCACCGCAGGCCGAGCAGCGAACGCTCACGTCGATGGACACAGATGAAGATGAAGACATGGATATGACAGCAGTCATGCCGAACCTCGTGCAAGGAAAACCGTTACCTAAAGGCTTTTCTCAAGACCCTTCAGTGTCATACTTGCTGCAAGACAAGTACAATGAGTCATCGGAGGAGGACTAGGGTCATCATATTCTCTGGCATGAGGGCGTGTTCGAACCGTGCGTGTTTGCGGGCAAGTGGCAAATGGTTGTGAAGACAAGAGACCGCGGGTGGGTCGCGAAGGAAAGAAAGGACGCTGCGATATGGCACAGCGTGACGGAGATGCAACTTTTTGGGCGGGGTGCACAAGAAAATGTCGGTGCAACCGAGGTGGCTATAGCGGCAAAGGCGAAAGCTTTGTTTGAGCATCTGCGTGCGAACAAACAACTAGAATTCAACACAAAGTTCTACAACCTTGCATCAAGTGTGTCGTACGGCTCCATCGATTGGAAAATCAAACAAGCGTCAATAGTGCAAGGAATCGATAGCATCACCTCTCTGAAGACTCAAGACGTCATCGCGTCTAACACCATCGTTGCAATGGCCAGAGGGGATGCAGGCTGCGAAACGGACATATGTGCGAACGCAGGTCACATACAGAATGAACAATTGCGAGCATGTATTCAACAAAGCACACAGAGAAGCACAATGGGGGATTCCACTATGATACGCAAGGACGGCGACGACATGGAGTCGGGCACATTGACAGAGCCGCCAACGCGCGGGGTCAACGATGGGGCAACAACCGTTGGATCTTTTGGGTCTCTTGTCGCGACAATGGCGGCGAGGCAAGGCGTATCTGAAATGATGGAGTTCGATGCGGGCCAGGATGTTGAAAGTCAGACCGTGAAGGTGGCGCCAGAGCAGGTGGCGGCAACAACAGAGGAGACGAAGAAAGGTGAGGGATCTCGCGAACACATTTCCATAATAGATATGAGATCGGAGAGTATGGGCGAGGATATGATCCAAGATAACGAGCAGAATGATGACCACGCTGCACCACGCGTGGAAGGTGATGACGAAGAGGACGCGCAACGGCCGAGACTGTCAACGAGAGCAGTAATTAAGAAAACTGTGTTTGATGCGTAGGAAAGCCTTAGACGGGCATGGACGTTTACACGTTTCAGGTTATATTGATGTGTCGCCACAAATCGTGATGCGATATTCACCTGGTCCTCACATGGGGTGTCTACGCATTTCTTGTTAAATTGATAGGTTGTCGCTGGGTACTATGTTAGAAAACTATGTTAGACAGGAATGGGTGTAAACGCGTTTTAGGTTATATTGTTGTCTTAATGGAAGTGTTATTGTGACACTGCAATTCTCGAAATTGTAGTGCCGATAATAGAGGGTGCCCCATCTCGATACGTAGGTGTGTGTGTGTGTGTGTGTGTGTGTGTGTGTGTGTGTGTGTGTGAGTGTGTGCATCGGTGTGAGTAGGCAGAGGTCGACTCGTCACCAGCATTAGGTTCTGTGTGTGGATTAAATTGTATGTGCGTGCTTGGTACAATTTTATAATAAAGGCATATGAAAACACACTATATGGGGCACTTTGCATGCCATGTGTCAAGGACACCTCTAATTTCAAAAAACTTGTTATGCCATCTTCCAGCGCGCTGTGAATGGTTGTCTTAACCTAAATCCCCACGAACTTAAAAACAGGAAACCATACTAACAAAATGAAAAAAAAAAAACACGAAAATATATGAAACAGCAAGGCAGGAATAGTGAACTTATATTCTAAATACTGCACAAAGTACTGAACATGAACATCAGAGAACTGATGGAAACAGGGTTACCGTTAACCACCATAGATCGCGAAAAGTATCATTGATCAATTTACTTAAAAAAAGTACACGAAAATTGGGCAAGAATTGTAGTTGTGTTATGCGCCATATTACGAGGAAGATGGAGGTCGGGGTGTTCATGTCAACTCGCTATAGTATCCTGTTGCCAGGATTTAGCAATTGAAATTTTATCTGCCGTTTCGAGCATGCAAATATGGCAGGCCCCGATCACGATAGCTTACGCTGCGGCATAATACATTGTCATGTGCAGAAAGGAGGAACATAGAAGAAGTACGAAGATGCAAACAGGAATGGACGATCCGCTTAGCAACGGATAAGTTATCGGGGAAGGAGACGGTCGCGGTGCAACATTTACGAGATTCAGTGCAAGCGCAGAATCGAACGGTCTGAACATCCACTTACAACGGGGCAACAGAAGAAGAACTAACAGTAACGGGGCATGATTTGAGCTTGATAATGTATCAAGGCAATTGGTTAAGCACCGAAATAGTTAACTTTTATTTAAACCTCGTTAGGGTTGACAACATGTGTCGCATAAGCCATCGCGAGTGTGATAGTGGACAAGACGGAACAGTAGTAGAAAGAAAAGGGCGCATCCCGATAACAAGAATTTTTAGTTCCTTCTTCTTCGTGAAATTGTTCGACGACGACATGCAATACCAATACAGCGCAGTGCAGAAGTGGATGACAGATATCGATGTGGGTGACGTGGACTTAATAATAGCTTCATTCCATGTCCGGAATTTCAACCATTGGACACTAGTAATAGCTGACCTAAGGCGCCAAAAAATGGAGTACTACGACTCGCTTACGCCTGACAAAGAATTGGCAAGGAAAGTGACAGGTGGCTTCACAAGATTCTTGTTCGAAAGATCGGTTGAACAGGGAAAGGTGGTGGATACAAAAGATTTCAACCACATATGGAATGTGTCAGGCAATCTTAGACAGCGCGACATTAACGAATGCGGTGTCTTTATGCTAACATGTGCGTCACTGCTGGCAAGAGGATTTCTCCCGCCATTCAACTTCTCTTTCAGCGACATCCACAATATAAGGGGACGGATCGCTTTAGATGTACTTGTCACACCAAAATAGGAGTTACTTGTGCAGCAAATGACATTTGATAGACGAGATTATAAAAGCAAAACATTTGTTTATTGTTTGCAAATGTAAAGAGATCATTGGCTCTGCTGGATAGACACGCATGAAAATGTCCGAATGTATTTAACAAAGCAACAACGCGACATGCCCGATTGAATACCATTCCTGTGTTACTTCATATGACCTCGTATCCCTTACCCCTTACCCCTTATCCATATTACCCCTTACCCCTTACCCCTTTACCCCCTATACCCATAAAACACTGCATAAAATACATACACAAATCGAAAAAAAATGGACTTTTAATTTCGCGCAAAAAATAAAAAATGTACGTTTTGACGAAATCGCAGTTCTAAGGCAACATGACAGCAACAAGACGAACAACGCAAACAATGAAACCAACAAGTCGCAGACCATTGAGGACAAAAAAATATCAGAATAATTGTGTCATTTTCTGTATTGTCACAAAAGTCGTCATCGAGGTTGCAACAATTCATCCCGTACCACCCTTGCAGGTCCACTGCCCCTCACTCCCTATACAACTCTGATTCGCATTTCATGCTCTCTCCGTCCATTCACATTGCCCCTTCGCTCAACCTGCACTCACAATTGTCAGCCTGCAAGGTTCGAGGTGGAGGTGGTAGAAGCGGGCTACTTCCAGTCAGTGAAACTGCTTTCTGTTGTCTGAAACTGCTTTCTGTTATCTGAAACCGCTTTCTGTTATCTGAAACCGCTTTCTTTTCACGAAATAGACATGGAGATACAGAGGTGTGGGGCAAATCCTATTTCACAGGCAGCCGTTTCAGGCTGCAGTCTCATCAGAAAGCTGAAATTGACAACCTGGCTTGTACCGGATAGTTAGTGATTGTTAGTGGTCTCGATAAACTCTTCTTCAGGTTCTGTTTTACGTAGACAATTCACAAGCACCCTCGGGATACTTCCCAAGTTTGCAGGTACAGCCCATAATTTTCAGGGATGGCGTTCACCCACCCTCCCCCATGCTTTGGACTGTTCCAAGAAGACAGAGCCACGCTATCCGTATGGGGAAGGTGGAAAGGTAAGTTGTTTAAAGCTCCTTGGAAGATGGGATTTAGAAGGCAATCATCTCCGCAATAGTTTCAATATTTTTTCCATCCTTTCGAAGGATTACTTCTAAATTCTCAGTAAACTTCATCTTTTTTTTCAGAGTTTGCCTTCTAGCGAGGGTCGTTGTACTTTGTTTTCAGCAAGAGCGCGAAGTGGTTAATGACCCCAATTTAAAAAGGAGGACAGAATTCAGATATCGCTAGTGAACTGGCCTGCAACAGGTAATTGAGAATCACTTAGTTGGGGGCTTGCCACATCACTCTCGTACTGTGAAATAGTCAAAAATGTGGCGGGTGAATCTGGCCACGTTTTGGAGCGAGTATATACTCATTTTGCATTTTTCAAGACTGGAGAGAAGAATGAGCCCTCGCAGGGCCCTTGTCATACATATACATGTTCTGGCCTTAGGCCCTCAGCAAGTCATGTGCCCGCTGTAAGTGAAGGCAGGCCTGAATATTAAAAAGGGGCCAACATTTGACATTTTTCCATACGCGGGCACTGCGACAGTTGCAGCATGGAAGTTAGTAATAGAAAAACGCGAGCCTCTAGGCAGGCTCTTTTCAGAAACAAGGGCTGCACTGCGCCGACGAGCGGCATCATGAGCCCATTACCGCTTTTTCCAACTGGGGGTCTGACATTACCCCTCCTCTCGGTTATTTTTCCCTTTTCGAACTAGGCCCCTTCCGTCTGTATCATTTCGTGTTTTTTTTTGCCTATTCGAACTTAAAACCTGCCGCGTCCGCCGATTTTTTTTTTTTTTTTTTTTTTTTTTTTTTTTTTTGGCCTAGATCCGATACTATTTAATTGGCGTCCATACACGTTTGCCCTGTCATTATAACTGCATTTGGACTGAACGTTGCACCAAATACAGCTAGAATGATCGGGCATTCTATCCGGGTGAAGACGTTAGCTTGAAATGAGACTGCAATGCCATATATTTGTGGGAACTGTATTCGGAGCCCTTTCGGTCCCGATACAGCGAGAATGACCGTAATGAACCAATCATTGACCGTAAATGGTAGAAATTTGTGACTCCTGCATATGCAAAAAGTACAAGCAGTAAGGTCATCATACAATTTCCTAAATATTGCTGCCGACTTGTTTACCGTTCTTGCAATCGATTTCTCATACCTCCACCCAAAGACCGCATTCGCAAAAACTAACATCACGGACATCCCAACATACTTAGAAAGCACGCCCTCAAAAATCTTATTAAAATCTAAATATCTCACACCCTATGAGCTCATTCTTCTGTTGTTCTTCATCTGACGAACTATGTGGTGGAGGAGGTCGACTCGTCGCCGGAAGAAGAAGGCAGTGGAGAGAGTTTGCAAGGATACGCGGCGGCTGTAGGGTAACGAGTATAGGTGACGAAGAACAACTATGTTTGACGTTGGTGGAAAGAAAAAGGAAGTAGATGGATGAATATCATGTGTGCTACTAGTGAGGGGGCTAGCTAGTAGGATGGGAAAAGGGC